CTTCACACATAAATAACTCTCTCACCTCCATACAGAATAACATCAATGAATGGCCTCAACCAAGGACAGACCTTAAACCCCTCCTATGTCCTGCGGTGCCAGACTTCTGACTAAACGCTCACGTCTATATTGTTGCTTATTCTGACCAGGAAACCCACGCTTAGACAGGATGAGCCACTAAAAGTGTCCAATCACTTTTTTGTTGTTGTTGTTGTTGTTGTTTTACATGCTTTACATGTGAATACTGACACACAAATAGCTGAAAATTTGTAGAAGCTCAGTTTGGAGCAGGAAAAAAAAAACAGAAATACTTCTTTCACAGACATAAATCAAAAAGAAAGAAAGAAAGAAAGAAAGAAAGAAAGAAAGAAAGAAAGAAAGAAAGCAGAATGTACCGTACACTTCTGAGAGTAGGTATCTTGTTTACTGGCTACACAATGCCTCAAATCAAATCTTTAAGTGATCACTAACCTGCCAAACACAGCAAATCCAGAGGAAGTCGTGGCCTAATGGTTAGAGAGTTGGACTCATAACCCAAAAGTTGTGGGTTCGAGTCTCGTGCCGGCAGGGATTGTAGGTGGGGGGAGTGAATGTGCGCTCTCTTCCACCTTCAATACCACGACTGAGGTGCCCTTGAGCAAGGCACCGAACCCCCAACTGCTCCCCGGGTGCCGCAGCATAAATGGCTGCACACTGCTCCGGGTGTGTGTTCATGGTTTGTGTGTGTTCACTGCTGTGTGTGTGTGCACTTTGGATGGGTAAATGCAGAGCACTAATTCCGAGTATGGGTCACCATACTTGGCCACATGTCATAAAATAATTTTAGCTCTGTGCCAGCCTGGTGTGCTGTAAAAACAACTTTGTTTTCATAGACTTATAAAAACACAAATGTGCCATTACTCATGGTGGTTACATAAAGACAAGTCAATCAGAAAATAACTTATTACATTTGAGAACATAAAAAAATCCAGTTTTGTGTGCATCAATGTTTCATCTGACAGAACGTAAATCTACTGTATTGTGTACTGCATGCTTCAATGCGTTCAGATAAAATTAGGCTGAAAATATGTTGACCTGTTTTTGTATAATATTTACAGCAAGAATCATGGTTCTCTCAAGAGACAGACAAGCCATCAGACAGATGAAGCATGTCAACAGAGCAGCTCGAATGCAAGAGCGATGGCTCAATACTGTTTGTTAAACCTACATATGAAACACCCTTAACTCTTATCTTTCTTTCATTTAGGTGGAAGAACAACACTCCTGAGCAGTTTACCAGTGAAAATGTATCAGTAATACTTCTCACAAACAAATGAATAATGAATAAAACGTGCTGATCTGTTTAAAAGAGAAGCCCGGGATCGGTCCTGAGCACTTCATCTAAATGAGCTGAATGCAATGCTCAGGCTCGCTAGGCTCATTTTAAAGCACATCTTGGAAACATATGAATACTATAAAAGACATGCAAATGAGTTGATGAATTTTGATTACAGCAGCATTATGTGGGTGGAACGGGTGACTAGAGTAACTAAAACATCTCATTCTTTGACAGAATTACACCAGCAGCTTCGGTTACTATAAAAGTGATGCTGGGAAACATCACACCCGCCTACATCTTCATTTCAGTATGTGTAACTGATGACATGCAATAAAAAATTCATATTCTGTAGAGTGTAAAGATGAACATGGCAAAATGTTCAAGTTTACACTGTCGTAGATCATGTGACTCGTGTATGTTTTTTTGATCCACAGATTCTGTTCATCCTTTCCAATCATCCATAAGGGAAATAAAGGCAAGTCCATTTTTAAGCAAAAAGAGATTTGAAACATCCTTTTACTCAAGATGGACTGGAAGCTTTGGTCTACAAGATGTGTATCGTTCTTTTTTCACAGAAAACACCCGACACTGGCATGAGTAAAAGCTTCTTCACACTCACTTAAATCATGCAGTCGACCATTATTGTACATCACGCTTCAATAAACAGAACCCGTGATTATTGTATGGTGTCTGCACTGGGTTTAATCCATCAGAACTGCTGATATTTTCAGTCTTGTGGACATATGGGAAACCAGACTGACTGCGCTGATTTCGCTAAATGCTTTACAATCTAATGCAATGACACACACACATAAAGCATCTGTGCATGACAATGAATAGATCATTCACTTTGCTTCATAAATATAAAAGAATACACATTATCACGACCCACCCATTCCCCTCCCTTCCTCTCACGGTCCCTTTTGCCCTCCTACTCACTCGCTCTCGCATTCTCTACCATCAATGTCTTTTCGTACAATCAATAAGAGAGATCCATCATAAGCAGCATCTCTTTCTCTCTCTGTGAGATGTGATGTTGTCTACGGTGCAGTAGCAGGTTCCTCTTCCTGCTATGTAAGGAACATGTGTATTTCCTCTATCTGACCCTAAAAACACAGAATGACATGACAGACCCTCAGTGCAGTAACAGATATAACACTGAGCAGGTACAAATTCACTATAGAGTTAGGGCTAGACACATCATGACTATAGAAACCAGCAGACAAAGGAAAACTTGGCTGCCGTTGGAAGAGAGGTTGTCCAAACTGTGATCATAACCAAACTGAGACAGAGCTACACTTTCTGACAGAATGTACAAAATATACAGATCATTGAGAAATGTAGTCCAGAAAAACTGGACTAAATCTTTTATCAATCCAAGATTCATGTCAACAAATTCAGGAAATTTGAATAAACAGAATACTGTTTATTCAGAATCACAGAGATCTGAAACACGCAGAGATTCACCTTCTGTACTGTGAAACACTAGAACACAAACATACACCCAGAACCACAAAAGCACAATATAAATCAATCCACAGTAACTGAGTCAATACTACTATCAATCAAAGATAATCAAAACCCTTTAGACTTCGTTATTACTGCAAAGCATCTTGACCTGATTCGATGTTAAATAAAATGATAACATAAACCAGCACTAAATTTCAATCGACTGTAATGAAATGTGTGTTTGTGAGTGTTGGTCACATCTGATTCATCAGCAATCAAGCACTGATAACAGCTACCGTCTTTAAAAATGGAGAGCCCAGTAATTACAGAGAGATATTTCTGTGAAAGTTACTCTGTAGTATAATAAACTCCTGGACTTCATCATGACACGTGGAGTATTAGTCAGATTTGATTTTTACTGAATAACATGCTGTTCAAATTACAAGCAATATGGTTGCATGTTTTATTAACTTCATTGGATTCAATCTGGCACCAAGGACTATTTTACAAACTTATTGTTAGTGGTTTAGGAGGTAAAACCTACAACCTTATTAAATCAATGTACACAAAGTAAATAAAAGTGACATCTTTCCCAAGAGCGTGGAGTGAGACAAACTGATGTTATTCAACATCTTCATCAATAAACCTGCGTTCAGTCTGGAATGATCTGCAGCCGCTGGTGTCACTTAAATCAAATACCTGCTCTATATCTACAAATAATGCATGCATGGGAGAATCAGGCAAACATTCACAAATGATAAAAACACGTAAATGAGCAGTCAAATTCTGGAAGCATTTAAAACTCACTGCCTCCCCCCCTGGCCCAGCATTATAAAGCAAAGGAACCAGCCCCCACTCTCAGCTTCACTAACATCTACTGAGCCCATCATTCTCCTCCTACTTACAACTTTATTAGTACTTTGTTGTTATTTGTGTGTATATGTATTTACATTTAATGTTTTTGGCAATAAAACACCTTATTTACCAAGTCAAATAATGTTATTTGAATCTGAGAGAGAGAGAGAGAGAGAGAGAGAGAGAGAGAGAGAGCTGAAGGAGCCACATTGTGTTAGGCAGAGGGAGATGCAAGCACACACACCTCATTAACACACATATGGAAAGAGAGAGCGAGAGAGAGAGAGAGAGAGAGCTGAAGGAGCCACATTGTGTTAGGCAGAGGGAGATGCAAGCACACACACCTCATTAACACACATATGGAAAGAGAGAGCGAGAGAGAGAGAGAGAGAGAGAGGGGGAGAGAGAGAGAGAGAGAGAGAGAGAGACTGGATTCCTCACACGTACCGCCAGCATTCCTATTATTCCGGATGTAGCGTGTCGCAGCTCAGAGCGGCAGCAGAGAGCATGTGCTGAGACAGGAGCAGCGATGCACAGCTGACAGCACAGACGGACACCAGCTTCCCGCTCAGATCTGAGGTGGCGAGCGGTCAGGACACATCGAATCCGACTGCATCTGCATTCACAGGACAAAGAACCAAACACACGTGAACCACTGGAGCGATCACCAGCACACCGTGATGGTTTAACACTACAGTAAGTAGCGTTAAGTAGCCTGAAATAACTACCTGGACTGGCTGTAAGTTTTTAGTCTGAAACACAAAAAAGTGAGTTTAGCTTTAGTCTGATTTATTTTTTCCTGTGCTGAAATCAAAATCCCCCTCTGAAACGTCTACAGCAGCCTTTTCTGCACACTCCAAACTTAAATGGATTACATTCGTGGCATTAGGAATTTGGGGGCTGAAATTTGAAGAGACATGCCTGACTGCGGGATACAGCACATCCAGGGGAGATCTGCGTGTGTTTGCTGTCACTTTACACAAGGATTACAGTCCTAATTTGGTCTCCCCGAGGACACGTGCGAGAACAGTCCACAGCTCGTCATTATGATGAACTTCAGACAGAGGAGAAGGTAGATGTCCAGTCGGTTTCAAAATTTTCTTTTAAATGTCTTCTCAGAGAGTGCATTAAATTCACCTGTAGATGTAGGTGTCTGTCTGATGGCCACAAAACAAGATCTTTTTTAATGCCGCTATGAAAATCTGGAAACAGTGGCCTATAGAAATTCTTGAAGATTGTACCTAAACATATTGGATTTGATGGTTTGAGCATTTTGGCACTTGCATCTTTGTGATCCACATGATTTTGTTTGTGTCCAGCTAGTCAATCCTGGAGCTCGGCCATGGGAGCAGCACTGCGGGGCAGAAGAGTCTGAGTCCTCTCTGTCTGCCTCCCCAAGGAGCCTCCCCAAATCCACCCATCAGGGAAGAGGTTGTCCCGCCCACGGCAGGATGGTGCCACCCCCTCCCACCAACAAGCCGCACGTATGCTTGTCCACCATTGTCATCATGAGCAGCATGGCGCTCATGGATGCGTACCTCGTCGAGCAGAACCACGGCCCGCGAAAGATCGGCATCTGCATCATGGTGACCGTCGGTGACCTCTGCTTCCTCATCGTGCTGCGATACGTGGCGGTGTGGGTCGGGGCTGAGGTAAGGACGGCAAAACGAGGCTACGCCATGATACTTTGGTTCCTTTACATTTTCGTCCTGGAGATTAAGGTGTATTTTGTATACCAGAACTACAAGGCTGACCGTAAAAGCCTGGATGCCTTGGCTCGGAAAGCTCTGACACTCCTGCTGTCCATCAGTATTCCCGTGCTGTTCGTGATTCTGGTTGCTATCGACCACATGGAGTACGTGAAGGCTTTCAAGAAGAAGGAGGAGATCAGAAACCGTTTGTTCTGGGTGGTGGTGGATCTGTTGGATGTTCTGGACATCCAGGCCAACCTGTGGGAGCCACAAAAGAAAGGGCTTCCTCTCTGGGCAGAGGGACTGATGTTTTTCTACTGTTATATTCTTCTTTTAGTGCTGCCCTGTGTGTCTCTGAGTGAGATCAGCATGCAAGGCATCAACATCAGTCCTCACAAGATGATGCTCTACCCCATTCTGAGTTTGGTGACTATTAACATTGTCACTCTCTTCATCCGTGGAGGGAATATGCTCCTCTATAAGGACAACAGAGTGTCTGGGATACTCATGGCCAAGAACTTCCTAGCCATCGTTCTGAAGACGTGCAGCTTTGTGCAGTATAGGAGACAGTTGCAGAGCACCCCGCCTGGGTTTGGAGTGGAATTACAGAAGAACTCTGTGGCGTCCGGTCGATCCATACAGACGCCTCCACAGGTAGCGCTGCAGGAGCAAATGCCGCTGCCTGAGGTCACCACGTGTGAACATACGTGACCCAAAATCTGGAGACTACTTGCACAAGGAAGCAGACCTGTAAGGATGCACATCTCTGATGAAACAATGCGGATGTAAGCTACATATCGCTAGCTTCATTATTTTCATCCGAAATAAATACAAATGGAGTATAACGGTATGAAGGTAGTCCGTAATTGCATAATGCTAAACACCTTTCCTTATATACTTTGCATATTATGCCACCTTTCTAAATATGTCATTGGACAGACTCCAATTTTTAAAATGGCTTTGGTCATCTGGGGTCCAAGTTTGGCTGGTTACTTTGGTCCAGTTCCCTGCTGGTAGATGTCCAATACACCATCTGATTGCAAGCAGAGATTCAAAAACCTGTGTCCAGAAAATTACAGTAGAAGTTTCACAAGTGACTGATTTATTTCTGGAGGCTCTTGACTTGACATTTGTCCCATCTGCTGACGTCACAGCTCAGGATAGTGATTAATGAAGGGTTTGAGAATGCTTTGAGACACAGGTGATTGGTCTTGTGAAAATTATTCTGCATACTACAATTATTTTTAAAAATGATTTTGTCATACTGGTGCACTGCTTTAAAAACCATACAGTATGCAATAAACTTGTACCGCAAACCATTTCAAACACAGTTTGATCAGAAATGGTGCAAGCATAACATACACTGTTGTTTGAGAAGATCAAAGAGTCTGCCTCATAAATGCAAAGGTTCATCATTTATTAAACACATTACGAGATTTATAGACATCATAACATTTGGATCAAAAGAAAACAACTATTGTGATTCTATTGTATATTTATTTTCTAGTGATGCAATATCAAAGCTCTGGTCACTATTCATCTGCGCCAATAGGTATATTTAAAACAACAACAAAAAAAAGAACGAAAAAAGGACCTTTTAGTAGAAAAGGGGGGAGCGTTTTTTTATGTGATACTTTGATAAAGAATTGTGTACATATGTGGGTTGTGTGTTTGTTACAGCATGTTTTACTCAGGTCAGACACACAAATGTACTGATTACACTGAAGATGGAATAGGTTTCATGTCGTAATTACAATTCTGATGAGGGTTTTTAATTAAACAGTGTTACAAAGGGAAAATGACCAGTGATTCTCCTCTCTTCATTTAATTCTCCAATTAGCCACTATCTAATTGCAAATGTGGATCCTTTTGCTAACACCATTTATCTTTTTTTTTACCTTTCTTTGTATAGTGCTTTATACAATACTGATTGTGTCAAAGCAGCTTTACGGAGTCAAACAGGAAAATAGTTTGTCAATAATACAATAAGACAATAACAGTCATTTTTCAGCTAAAGTCAGTTCATTGATGATTCAGTGATGTAATCATCCAGTTCAGCTCTCTTCCAAATAGTGTCTGTGCAGTCAGTCAAGCGTCCCCAACTAAGCAAGCCAAAGGCAACAGTGGCAAGGAACCTATATCTGAATATACTCTTTTAACACCTTGCCTGATCTACTTAGTTTTCGATAAATTAAGTGTTCAATGAAAGAAGTTAAAACTATTTTAGTATGCTACTTTGTTTAATTTGATCGTGTTTGATGTTGGTTATGAATTAACAGAATTAATGTACTGCTTAGTGAATAACTTCCAACAGATGAAGAAAACACACTGCCCTAACAAACTTGTTACTGCTCATGCATTTGCTTACCTGACACGTAATGGAAGATGCTGACAGGGAATTACTTTAACAGAATCCTGGGAAATGGAAGGGTCTCAGAACACTGTGATAAAGATGCAAAGTTTGTAGTTTGTAATTTCTCCGATCACAAATGCAGACATGGTTTTATGTTTACGCGGCGCGATGCGATGCAATGCAATGTGTAAAAAGACAGTATAAGTCATTATAATCCATAATTATGTCCCCACTGGAATGCCTCGTTTATAATGGGTTTTAATGTTTTTGTCTCGTTGCTCCGGCCGGACAAGGCATCACAATATGGCAAGGGGCGTAACATTTCCGTCACACGCTTGAGGTACTCAGCCAATCACAATGCACTAGATAGCTGGCTCATCAGACCGATGAGCTTTGTAAAAATCGACGCGTTTCAGAAAGGCGGGGCATAGACGAGAAACAATAATGTACAGTATGTGGAAAATAATGTGTTTTTTGAACCTTAAACCACATAAACACATTTCATTACACCAAATACACAAAATAATGTTCTTTTTAGCAACATCATATGACCCCTTTAACAAGACTCAAATTGACACAGGCAGAGTGAAAGACTGGATTTTTTCGATCGGGTAGGGTACAAGTGATTTCAAAACATTTCAGCTGGTTTATAGCCTATATATCGTGTGAATATTTTTTATCTTGTATAAGATGCATTTGGTTGAGTTACGCTGCAGTAAAGCGCTTCATTGTAGTACTACGGTGATTATCTCTTCAGCGTGCAGCGCTAGCAGGACAAACAACAATGCAGAATATTAATAACTATGACTGGGACTGTCATATACATAACATTATAATGAGAACACTATTATAATAAAATGCTGTGATTTTTTAGAGTTTAGTTGCTGTGTTTCTGAACATTGTTGCGTGAAGAAAGCGTCCACAAAAGGAGTTCATTTAGAGACACGTTCATGTGCATTTGGGGTATTTTGTGCAGATAGCTTATGTAAGTCGTAATATTAATGTTATGTTGTATAAATAACGAAGCGTATTCTATATGAGATAAATGATGAGTTATATCCCATGGATTAAAAACCTGCTATCAAATGCTTCACTCTACTGGTCATCTTCAGCGCGCACACAGCTCATAACAGAAATGCAGAACATTAATAACTACTGTCATATAGATAACTTTATAATGAGAGCACTGTTGTAAAACTGTTGTAAAAACCCCAAAAAATTAATTCTTTCGCTGAGGTTTAATGTTAACTATATTTAAATCAAAACATAAAAATAATTTTTGTATCTGCGAGGCGTCCGTTACACATTTTCCCTGTGTGTTAACGTCGGTAATTATGACTGCCGAATGTCTGACTTGATTCTTGGTAATGTATTTTGCCCCCACAGCCCCGCACCCAAACATATGATTCGACTGTCAGTCGACTATCTGCAAGATTAGAAAATTTCGATTTGACTTTGTAAATCCTTAGTCGGGGACACCCCTAGTTGTTACAGAAATTACATTATGTGATTGATTAGGCATGGATCTAAACCGTGCAGAACAGTGGACCTCAAGAGGTGGAATTGCCCACCCCTGAAGATGAAGACGAGACACTTCAGCAATGTAGAAATACAAGAAATGTCTGTGCCTCAATTATAGGACACTTAGAAATGTCATACATGCAGCATATTTTGAATATTACATATTTGTTTACATCAAATAAATCATAGAAGTATTGATGACTTCGGCTGTTTTTTATACCCTAATAGGGCAACGTATCCTGGGAGATACAACTCATGAAATCCAAAATATATTAAATATTTATAAAATCCAGATGATATTAAAAAGTGACAAGAAATTATTTTTTGCTGATCATTTTCCACTCTTGCCTGCTTTAGGGTCAAAGTCTACATGAAACAGCATTAATTTAGTACCTCTTTTTACCTTCATAATCTGACATATTTTGTGAACTGAGGAACTGATCTGAGGAACATATTTCACATAATTTAGCAAATAGGGTTTATAATTTAGTATATTTGGATTTCACGTTGACTTTACGCATTTAATTTGATTAATAAAGGATTGGCGTTGACTTGTTTTTGTCTTAAGCTAGTCTTTGTATTTCTCTAGTATTGGTGTATTTGCGTATCTCTTCATCATTCCGACAAAAGCAGGATGATCAGTGGTGGTAATATTCTCAGGTTATATTTGTAACCAAATAAAATGATGACTGAGACTTCTTATTGATGTTCTATGAAAGCGCATGGATTGAACACATAACAGGGCATGCAACCCATCACTTTTCTATAGGAATGTTTCACACGTCCATAAACGTCTACACTGTTTATAAACCAATGTCTAATTTTGCATGCATTTTATGTTTCAAATCTACATTGGTAGCTAATGTGTGTGCAGAGCATGCTGGGATAGTTTTACTCCCACTGAGACAAATCAACTGACCAACACAGTTTTAAATCAATACAACTGATCACCTCCTCACTTTCTGGCAGTGCATATACTTCCTGAGTCTTCCGATTTTTACTTTAATTTCAAAGATGAAAAATTTGCCTCAGAAGAGATTTCCACATTTTCTGATTTAACAATGTGAACAAGTTTGGACTCTGTTGCAGCATTTGTACATTGAGTTTATTTCTAATATCTAAATTAGGGCTTCAAAACACTTGGAAGTCTTACATGGTGGCAGTCCTAATTCACACGGTGCATGAGGTGAGGTCAGAGAGGAAGTTCCTCTGAAAGCTGTTCAGAATAAAATTAATTTACTGTGAGACTGGTTCTTAGCTATTGTTACACAAGTCTCTCCCTCCGTACAGTGTTAGGCTCTTCTCTACCTTTGACGCTTGTCTTCAGGTTTTGACGCACAACCTTTGCACAAAATATGCTGCATTAATGAAGCTTAAGTTAAATAAGTTCAAAACAATCCATTTAAATGCAAACAGGAGGAATGTCAGTAGAATGTGTTCTGATGTAACTCTCCTAACTCTCTCCATGAGTACTCTCTCTATACAAAGGCCATACTATGAATTAGATTAGCAGTGAAAATTTATCAGGTGCATCATAGAAACAGGGTTCAGAACCACTGCATTAAATGCTTAGAGGATATCATTACATACTGAAAACTTCAGGAAAAACATGTTTGATTCAAGACAAAGAAAACGTGCATTATTGGCCTGCAATTTCTGTTGGCAGATGTTGAACGGCATCACTCATCTATTATAACCTCTCTGCTAAACTACTTCATAAATTCTCTTAAAGACTGTACAGGGAAAAGGACATCTTGAGTCTCCACAGCTGCCCAAACTTAAGTTGCTAACTGTCCATAAGAAACTAGCACAAGCAGACGGTAACAGTAAAATCGAG